CTTTGTCAGACAGTGGAGCTGGCCTCAGGGAAGAGGGGGACCCTGGGAATGCAGCATTTCAGGTTCCTGGTCTGCAGTTGCTCCTTCCTTGCATCATCCTCCATCAGTCCTTCCTTGTTTTTAAGTCTGTGCAGGGCCTTGTGGTGGTGCTGGCCCTGGCCTCAGCGTTGGTGGCCATGGTCCTGGCCCTGGTGACTCTGCCAGCACGGTACAGCCGTTCCCCTGCTGTGGCCCCAGCACTGCCCACCCGGCCTGTAGGCTTGAGGTGCTCGGCAGCAGCTGCTCTGCCACGCTGCTGCTGCTGCAGGTTAATTCTCATTAAATCCAGGGAACTTAATTGCCATTTCATGTAAATATTTTGTCAAGTGAAAGGGCTTCAGGAAGGGTGGCGTGGTCAGAGGCGAGGAGCCAGGCACGGTGACAGGCTCAGGCTCGTGCTGCCCAGCCAGGGGTGTGAGCTGTGTCCCGAGGAGCTGCCCGAGTGTCCTGCAGGAGCCAGGGTACGGATGGGACTGGCTGCTGGGGGTCCCTGTGTTTGTGCCAGGTGCACTGGCTGCTGGGGGTCCCTGTGCCCCTGTTTATGCTGGATGATGGGGACAGGGGATAGCTGCAAGGAGGTGCCATTATGTGGAGAGCACCAGGGCTCCTGTCCCTGCCCAAGTGGCTCGAGGGCAGAGGAGGAATGGCACGGGAGGCTGTGGAACATCCCCAGGTGCTGGCCCAACTGCTGTCCTTTTCTGCACGGTGCTGGCAGCTCTGGTCAGAGGCTGGCAGATCCCCAGACCCCATCCTGTTTCCCCCACAGTGGGTCAGGAACATCCTAGTGGGGCGTTTTTTTCCCTCGATCCCATTACACTTCCAGGTGCTTTCCCTCCATTCCTGCTCCCCTCCTACTGCCAAGCTGCTGTCTCAGACACTGGCTGTGGTTTGGTCACAGTCCCCTCCTCACCTGGTGAGGTCCTACCTGGGTGCTCCATCTTTGGGAATTCAGAGCAAGCACTCAGAGTGGCTCCACTGACCTCTGAGAGCTGCTGGAGGAGGGGGAGGAGGAGGAAGGAGGAGGGGAAGCTGGAGTGGTTTCACAGGGTGTCAGGGAGGCTTGCCAGTCCCTTCTTGCTGTCCTGGTCCATGCCCTAAGTTGGGGCCATCCCTGTGGCCAAGGTACAGGGGGTGTGGGACCTTCCTTGCCATGGGATGTTCCTTGTCACACGGCAGCTCAGATCTGTCAATGCCTTCATGTAATTGCTTGATGTCTTTGAATAACTACTAATGAGCTTCTAATTAATGAATGCCTCGGCTTGGGTGCATTTTGCAGTGGGTGGGAGGAGAGGATCAGGTTAGTACCACTGTCCCTGGATGCTGGTGTGCTGCCAGCCCTGCACTCACAGGATGACCCCAGGGAGGCTGGAGCACCTGATCTCCTTGGTCCAGCCTCGAGGGCCCTCCTGGCAGAGGTTATGTCTTTGCTGATCTGCAGCCCTCCTTGGCAGCTCTCACGAGTGTCAGCATTGGGCTTTGCCCTGTGGGAGAGTGCTGCAGGGACCACGGGGTCCTTCTAAATGCCAGCAGCCCCCGGGACACCCAGTGCCCCATGGCTGTGCACTGTGCCCCACGGCAGGTCCCAGGCATCACATCATCCTCTCTGCTGGGAGAGGAAACACAGGGCTCCCAGGAAGAGCCCTGCTGCCAGGCACTGGGATTCCCACTGCATCCTGTGGGCTGGAATCTGGGCATGGAGCTGGGCCAGCTCTGGGCTGGCAGCAGCTCTGACAGGTGCTCAGGGCTTGGTGCAGCCCGTGCAGGGCCCTTGGCACCTGGATGTGCCACCGTGTGCTCAGCAGGGCTGGGGGCTCCAGGCAGACCCGTGGGCCTCGTTCCTTGAGGATGAAGTTCCCAGATGGTGGGGTGTCCCTTGGAGGAGGCCTGGGCTTTGCTGTCATTTCCCAAGGAGAGGATGGCACCGCACTGGCTGCCTCGGGCGTCTCCCAGCAGCTCTCCACTGTGCAGCAGGTCCATCCCGGTGCCTGGAGCAGCCAGATGTGCTGCGCTGCCCCTGGCAGTTCCCTCAGTTTCCCTCAGTGGTTTGGGGGTGCATGCCCACCAGTGCTCCCGGTGCAGGCTCTGGCCCTTGGCTCCAGCACCAGAACAGTGGCCAAGACCACTCCTGTCCCAGTGCCATGTTGTTCTCCCTCTTCCAGAAAACAAAACCAAGGAGCCCCGAAGGGTTCATTTAAAATAAATAAAAAACTGGGAATTGTGCTGATTTGAAGGAAAGGCAGCCCCATCCTGAGCGGGGAGCGCAGCGCCAGCCCAGCCCCGAAGGGCAGAGAGAGATGTGCTGAGAACTGCAGCCCTGTGCAACTTCAGCCTTTGATCGTATATCTCACACGTGCCCTTTGCTTTCCCTCTGCTGATATTTATTAGGTTTAATTTTACTGGGACATGGCTGTAAGTGAGACAGATGGAATGGGGTCTGTGCGCCTGGTGAACACATCTTAATTAAACAGATAAATAAACTTTCGTTCCAGGAGGCTTCAGTTTCGGAGGTGCTCCTCCGGGGCTGCGGCTCTGCGGGGCTGGGCACTGCCCTGGTTCCCCCGCCAGGCTGCTGGCTGGGACTGTGGCACAGTGTCACTGGGAGCAGCAGGGCGAGGGAACCCAGCCAGTGGTGCCAGCACGGTGTTGCCACTGCAGTGCAGCACGGTGGTGCCACCCTGCCCGGCCAGTGTCCCCGGGGCTCCCCTCTGCAGAGGGACATCTCTGCAGCCAGGCACGCGCTGGTGATGGCAGGAGAAGGGACAGAGGAGACTCCAGCACTGCTCAGCTCCCAGAGCTGTGCCCATTTCGCTGCTGGCTCAGGGCAGTGCCAGCACTTGTGGTGCTGCCACCGGCCAGGAATGCCTTTGAGTCACCCTGGCCGGAGCAGCGCGGGGGAGGATGGGCAGATTACCTCATCCTGGAGCCCGTTTCTGCCTCACGTGGTTGGCTTAGCTGGGCACCGCAAGGCCAGTGTGCCAGGCAGTGCCCTGCCATTGTCACCTCCAGGAGCTGCAGTGGAGCCAGACCGGCCCAGGGCCTTTGGAGCTGCCTGCTGGCCTGTCGGTGTCTCTGTGGTGCTCGGGTGCCTGCAGGTTCCTGGGGGAGCCCCTCTCCCCTCCACTGCACCAAGGGCTGTGGGGGGACGCACTTGTCCTTTCAGAGCTGTGCCACATCCTTCCCCGGGCGCTGGAGGGCACAGGAGGGCATGGCACCCGGGCCATGGGGGTCTCTGGGAAGGGAAGCTGGAGCCAGCAGGTGCTCAGGGGTCTGAGCACTACAGTGTGTTGAAGGGGCCGCTGCTTCTGTTGTGGTCCTTGGAGCTGGAGGGGGAGCAGCTGTGGTGGGCATCCACAGGGAGCAGTGCCTGGGGATGCTGTTGGCAGCAGATGTCACTGCTGAACCTTTTTGGTGCCCAGTGCCACAAGGTGGTGGTGGTGACAAAGGTGGTTGTGGTGACAAAGGTGGTGGAAGTAACAAAGGCCTGCCATCCCCTCCCTAATCTGGGTCCCTGCAGTCCCTTTGGAGTGTAATCCCCCGAGTCTCAAGACCTGCTGGGAGGGGCCGGCATCCCCTTGCCCCCACACTGCTTTCCCAGGATGGCTCTTCCAGAGCTGTTTGCAGCAGGTTTTCCCTGTGCTCTGGGCCGGCCATGCCACACACTGCTGCTCTGGAGTGTCTGCAGCAGAAGCCGTAACTGCTGCGAGTGTACCAGGACACTGCAGCATGTCACTCTGCCTGGGGATACTGTGGAAAATCCCAGCTCCAAACGGCTGGTCGTGTGCTGGAGGCTCCGGCAGAGACGGAGCATCAGCAGCTGCTGGCACAGCCCTGCCTTTGTGCATTACATTTGGCCAAGACGGAAACTGAGCCGAGCCCAGGTTTCGTTTCCTACATGCCCCAGCACAATGCCAGCCTGGCAGCCTCGGCACTGCCATGGCTCCGGAGCTGGGCACGGCGCTGCCGAGGCGTGGGCACCAGGGAGGGACCCTCGGCAGTGCCGGGGCTGCTGCGGGGCCCGGATGGGTGGAGGTGGGACGGGACCCGAGCGAACACACGCGGCTGTCCCTCGCGGGCACTGGCACGTAGGCTATTGCCATGGCAGCTGTGACAGCGGCGAGTGTGGTGTGGATGCGTCAGGGCTGCTGGCAGCACCGCAGGGCCCTTGGAAACGCCAGAGCACCTCTGGAGCCCTGCCGGGGCTGACCTCTGTGGATCTTGGGGCAGAGGGTCCCCATCGCTTGGGGAGCGCAAGGAAGCCAGTGCCAGCGGGCAGCGCCCCTCATGTCACCCCGAGGGGCAGGAGTCCCCGCAGCCCTCCGTGCCTGGGGGACGGGCAGGCAGGTGGGGACTCACAGGGCCCTGCCGGGGGCTCCCACACCTTGGCAGGGTTGAGCAGTGGTGCCCGGGGCATGCGGGCGTCGGTGAGGGGCGGCTGGTCCGGCAGGGAACGCTGCGGGCTGCCCGCGGCTGCGGGGCCGTGCGGGGCCGGTGGCTCCGAGGAGGCGGAGCAGGGGTTGCTGCGCGGCTCCCGGGCCCGGCAGCGCCGGCGTCTCGCAGCGAGAGCGTGGCGGTGTGCACGTGTGCGGCGGAGTGAGCACGGGGGAGTCCCCGGCAGCCCCGCCGCCGCCGCTGCCCGCACAGCTTCCCGCGGCACCGCGCTGCAGCACCGCGACTCCCGGTAAGAGCCTTCCTCCCCTGGGAGCCAGCGCCGGGAGCGGAGCCGGCTCTGCCCGCCCGGCCGCGTCCTGCCCGGCTGCTTCCCCAGCGTGCGGCCGGGGTGGCGAGGGCGACGGGGAAGCCATCTGCAGAGCGGCGGCGGTGGAGGGGTTAAGTGCGGGATCAGCTGTTCTCATGTCATTACGGATTCTCTTCATTTTATACAGAGCTCTGTTTGATGTCTGAATGCACAGGGGACTCCCCCTCCTCCTCCAACTCCCACCCCTTTTATTTCGCTCCCGAGCCCTCTCTCCTTCCTCCTCCCCTTCCTTTCTCTCCCGCTCCGCTCTGGCTCACGCACACCCTTTGCAGACCGTGCGCTCAGTGCCAGTGTCTAATGGCCCCGAAGTGAAGAGCCAAGCGCTGCTCCGGCGGCGGCGCGGCCGGCCTGCCGCAGATGAACCCTCCTAACTAGCGCCGAGGGGTCGGGAGGGACGGCGAGGAGGGGAGAGCCCGAGGGGCCAGCCGGGAAGACGAGGATAGCGGTGGATAGCAGTGTGCGGAAGAGGACGGACCCGCGAGCAGCTCCACGGCTACCTGTCGACACATGCTGTGCTCCATGGCTAACTCGGGCTGCCTCCTTGTCTCCAACTCAGGCATGCTTCCTCACTCTCTCCCCTGTCCTCCAGCCTTCCTCTACCTCCAACAGGTAAGCCACCCTCTCCAGGGGATTTTTTTGCTTTCCGGTTCGCACGTGTTTCTGGCTGGTTCCCTCTGGGCAGAGGGTAGGAGCTTGACAGCTTCCTCGCAGCCTCCCCGCTCCAGCCCCACGGCAGCCGGAGTTGTGCCGCCGGGGCGGCTCGGCTCCTCGGCTGCAGCTTTTGGGGTTTCTCCGCGTTCCCCGCCGTGGCGGCGGGAGCAGGGCCAGGGCAGAGGCGCGGGCAGTGCGGCAGGCAGAGGCGCCGGCGCGGCTCCAGCGCTTCCCCGCCTCGGCGCTGCTGCCGCTTGGCGATGATGGATGCTCGGGTGAAGGAACGAGGCTCCTGCGTGGCCTGAGCGGAAGGGAAGGTGATGAGCTCGTGCGTGCACACGCGTGTGCACGTATGTGTGCGTGTCCACAGCCGGGCGGGCGTGGGGCTGTCCCGCTGCCGCTGGAAGCTGCTGCAGAGGGACTGGGGGCACGTGGTGCCCGGCTTGGGCAGATAGAAGCAGATAGAAGCTGCTTAGGTCGTTCAGTTTGGGCCTTCACCTGGGCCAAGGTTTCGCTGTCCCACAGGATTGTCCTGGTTCTTGTGCTGGACCCTGAGTGCGAGGTTCCTGGGCCCATCATCCCAGGGGAAGGGCAGCTTGGGAGAGGCAGCATCTTCCTCAAATGCCTCTGTGCTGCGTCGGAAATCCCGTCTCCCAGCCAGGCAAACCACTCCATTTGTGCCTTCAGGAGTTTAAAAATTCATGGCATCCTCCCTGCACTTGGCGTACCCAGCGCGGTTCACCCAGCGGCGAGGACAGGCACGCAGGTGCCAACCCTCCGCCCCAGCGGGGAAGGCTGTGGAGTGTTTGTCCCTTGGGGTGTCTGTAGTGGTGTCCGAGCGGGGTCGTGGCCAGCGGTGGTGGGGATGGCGAGGCCCAGGTCTCTCTCCCGCGCTGGAGGCCAGAGCTGGCTGCACGAGCGTGGGCACGGGGGCTGCGGCAGGGCTGCCGAGACGGGCGCGTGATTTATGGCACCCTCCCGTGGGCAGAGCCTGGGGACAGCCAGGGCTGCGCTGGGTTTCACCCTTCCCAAAGCTGCACTGATGTCCCTGTGGCTGCCGCACGTCTGACACGGGGCAAAAACTGTCCCTGAACCCCCACCTGTCCAGGGGACGGTTTCTGTCCTGAGGAAGGGAGCACAAGGATGCTTTGGAGTGACAGCCAGTGCAGGGCCCAGGGCCTGTCTTGCAGCATGGGAGATGTCCCTCTCCAGCTGGGATCCCCCTGTCCCTGGCCACACCAGGGGCTCAGCTGTGCTGCTCTCTTGCCCTGCAGAGCACTCTGGCATGGCTCGGCCTGGGTCTGGCAGCAGTGGCAGTGACAGCACAGCCCAACGGGTGCTCCCAGTGCCTGCAGGGCTGGGAAGGAGGAGCTGCAGGTCCCTGGGAAGCAGAAACTTTCCTGGGTGTGCAGCTCTGCACCTGGCAGCTCCCAAACCCTGCCTGGTTTGGTTTGACCGTTGTGTTCTGCATCTCTTCCTCTCTGCTCTCCCAGAAGCCTCCTGCTCCTTGGCAGCAGCTCTGGACTTGCAAGCCAGGAGGAGGGTTTTGTTACAGAATTTGGAGTTGGATTTTCACCCGGCTGATGAGCATGATGGAGGTGAAAATCTCCATCCTCTTCCTGGGGTTTATCCTGTGCTGAGGTTCTGCACCCAGCACTTGGGGAGAGTGTGACAAGGTGTCACTGGAGGCCATCACGTGGGGCAGGGGCATGGGCCATGCGTGGCTGATGGGCCCCTCAATGGGTGGGCACCTGCTTTAGCTCTGAATTTGCTCTGGGTTTTAGACTGTGCACCCCAGAAGCACACAGGGAGCAATGCTGCTGCTGCCCGAGGGCACGTGCCCATCCCAGAGCTGGTTCTGGCCAGCTGGCCTGGCTCACCTCTGTGTAGGAGGGACACCTGAGAGGGTTCAGCTGACTTTCCCTTGCCTGGCTGTGCCGTGGGGTCTGGGGGGCCTGGTTGTGACTCCCTGGGTTACAGGTCCCTGTCCAAACCCTTTCTGGTTTGTAAGAAGGTGCCTGGGCCAGTGGCCAGGACTGAGTGCTGGGCTGGCCAGTCGGTCAAGAGCTGGGGCATGCCAGGCTCTGCATGCAGTGACTGCCCTCGCCCCCTTAGACAGTGTGTCCCTGCCAGGAGCCTGTGGCTGGACTGGTCCCTGAGGATGCTGCTGATGTTCCATAGCTCCCAGCCCCAGTGTTTTCAGCTCTCAACAAAACCTCAGTTCTTCCAGCACCAGGGAGGGCTCAGCAGTGCCAGTGGCTCTTCCAGGTGCTGTGGGTGCCTCTCAGCTCACTCTGCTCCGCTTTCCTCACGTGGCCACCCTGGCTCAGCCACAGGAGCCATGGTCCTTGGCATTCTGGGTTGTGCAGCCACACCGTGCCCCGGAACTCCCCCTGGCACTGCCATGCTCCAAGAGCAGGACTTTTGGAGGGCTGGAGGGCAGCGGCCACGGGAGGGCGGGTGCATGTCTGCAGCCTGGGTCAGTGGGAACGCTGCACCCTTCGGTGGGGCTTGGCAGGGACATTTGGTTCTTGCTCAGTGAGGGTCTGGGTGTGGAAGGACTCTTGGGTGGCTTCGTTTGGTTAACAGAGGATTCAGTCAGTGCTTGAAACACATCTCAGCTGTTGTGAGTGAGCAAGTGACGGCTGCAGGGCAGGCTCGGTGCTGACCCAGAGCACAGCCAGGCTCTGAGGCTCAGATCAGTGCTGTACCCTGCACGGCCCAGGTGCAGCCCCAGCCACGTGCAGGTGTGAGCCCAGCCCGGGCTGACGTACAGATGTGCTGAGGCCCACTGCGGTGCTGCCCCTGGGATGCTCCTGGCCGGGAACATCCCCGCTGCTCACAGTCACACCACGGCGCAGGAGACTCAGCTGAGCGACGCCTGGCGCGCCGGGAAACAGCCTCTGCAAATCCTGCTCGGAAAATTCCTTTCCGAAAGGGCTGCTGCCAAGTTTAGCATGTTATATTTTTAGGGAGCGGGTCTATTCCGAGCGGTGGTGCCGCGTGTTGCAGCAGCGGGTTTGTTTCAAACCGGGTTTCTCCCCCTGCCCGGGCATCGCGCGGCTGCGAGACCTGGCACGGCAGCTCCCGCCTCTGGCCATGCTGTGGCAGCTGTCCTGCTCACTGAGGACAGCCCTTAGAGCCCCAAAAACGTGTTTTCTGGTTCGGGTTCTTTTATACTGAAAACATTGATATTAATTTTAGCTTTGCAAAGCTGCTTTTCCCACAATAGCTGTGATTTTGGCCCACACTGCCTGGCAAAGCTCTTTTTATAGGTATATTCCTATTTTTGTGCTATAGGGATGGGTGAATGAGTAGATTAAATTAGATTTAGTATCTGTCATTCTTTAAAGCATCACATGCAGTTGGAGTGGGGGGTGTAACAAAGAAAGGCTAATTAGGAGAGCGGGTGCAGGCCACCCCCACCAGTTCCACCAGCTGCACCACCCCTGGCTCTGGGGCTGCCCCCGCTCAGGGGCCACCATCCAAAAGGAAGATGCTTTTGAAACATGGTTTTCTGTGCAGCTCCCCGGCCAGGCCAGCTCCACGGGCTGCAGCCAGGGCTGGGCAGAGTGCTGGGAGCTGCAGCTGGGCACCCGGGCACCTCCAGGAGCTTCAGGGTCACTTGGCTGCCTGGCTGCTGTCCCCACAGGGGTGGGGGCTCCTGTGTGGGGTCACTGTGTCACTATCCTGTGGGATAGTGAGTGGGCTTCCATGGAGGAGCCAGGGCACCAAGGGACACTGCAGCCCCTCCAGGAAGGGCGTTCGTCACTTCAGTGCTGCTGGTTTTTGTAGGCAGGTGTGGGGCTGGGTGCCAGGAGGGTGTGAGGAGCTGTGCCTGTGTTGAGAAGGCTGGGAAGGGTGCCTGGGCACAGGAGAACTAAATGTCCAGGGAAGAAGGTGGATCTTCCAGTGCTGGTGTGAGCCTAGCAGTGTGTGGTCAGGGGCTGTGCAGTCCTGGCCATGCCATGGCCACTGACTCAGTGACGTGCCAGTGCCATTGAGCAGGCTGGGAGCTCTGGGCAGGAGCTCTGGGCTGGGAGCTCTGGGCTGGGAGCTCTGGGCTGGAGCTGTGGGCTGGGAGCTCTGGGCTGGAGCTCTGGGCCGGAGCTGTGGTCTGGAGCTCTGGGATGAAGCTCTGGGCTGGGAGCTGTGGGCTGGGAGCTCTGGGCTGGAGCTCTGGGCTGAAGCTGTGGGATGGAGCTCTGGGCAGGAGCTCTGGGCTGGAGCTGTGGGCTGGGAGCTCTGGGCTGGAGCTCTGGGCTGGGAGCTCTGGGCTGGGAGCTCTGGGCTGGGAGCTCTGGGCTGGGAGCTCTGGGCTGGGAGCTCTGGGCTGGGAGCTCTGGGCTGGGAGCTCTGGGCTGGGAGCTCTGGGCTGGGAGCTCTGGGCTGGGAGCTCTGGGCTGGGAGCTCTGGGCTGGGAGCTCTGGGCTGGGAGCTCTGGGCTGGGAGCTCTGGGCTGGGAGCTCTGGGCTGGGAGCTCTGGGCTGGGAGCTCTGGGCTGGGAGCTGTGGGCTGGGAGCTCTGGGCTGGAGCTCTGGGATGAAGCTCTGGGCTGGGAGCTGTGGGCTGAAGCTGCTGGTTCACGTGACCCTCCACTGCCCATGGGCAGCCCCAGCAGGGCTTTAAGCTGCACCACGTCCCTTGGTGTTCCAGGGGCCAGGAGGGAGCAGCCCCCTGACTCTTGGAGTGTTCCAGCAGGTGAAGAGTTTGTGGGGGCCCCCACAGTGCTGTGGGCATCGCCTGCCAGGGGCTGGGTGCTGTTCCCACATTCCATACAAGCCCTGCTGTGCCCAGCCAGGATCCACACACGGGTTCTCACCACAGCCTTCAAACAGCTCCTGTGGAAAATCAAAACGGGGGAGAAAAGAGTGGGAGCAGGCGACAGTGGCAGCTAATTTGTGATCTGCATTGTGTGGGGAGCCCTTAATTAGAGGTAATTAGACTAATTAACTTGC